CCAACACTGCAGCGCAGCCCAAGCCCAATCGCCTGTATATGTGGGTGTGTGTGTGCGCGTGTGTTTGTTTGTATGCGTGTGTGTATGTGTGCCAATTATTATTGAAATATCAGTTGCTTGTAGGGTTCAGGGGATCTCGTAGTCGAGCAGTCTCGACTAGAGCTTTCTTACTTGTTTCACATCAAATTTCTTAGTAAAGCTGAACTGAATGTATAGAACTTCGTGACTTGTTCGTTCGTTTTAAATTAGGAATGGATTATACGTATACTTATACAAAGAGCACTTTATTTCCTATTAAATGTGAGTCAAAAGCTTCAGAAATATAGTTCGGAATTTTATTATATATATACATATATACAATATCACTAACCATACAATGTTTTCTGTTTTTCTTGAGTTGTCGAAACTATCCGAAAATTATATATAATTAATTAATTAATTACAATACTTTTTTTTTGCAGAAAGTAAGTTTCAATTCATTTAATTATCATGAATAGGTTTTAGAGTATAACGGAATAAAATAACAATTCCCTATTTTCAAGATCAGATGTGGATGGCAACCCTGGAAGTGAAGCTTAGGTCTCAGACATTGGGCAACCTAAAGTAGTCATTGTTGTGCATTTGCGCTGAATTGTTGAATTGGCTCAACATGGATTTCAAGTTTATAATGCTCATATTTTATAGTTATTCTTTACGATGTGAGACGCTGGCATCTTCAATCCCCCAAACAATAGGTAATGTTGTACGCATCCTATACAAAAGAATATTCAAAGGTACAATTGAATTATTTCTAGGACACTTTTTAAATATCAGCCACTTGCTGGGAATTGAAAATAATTTTAATGCGGTGGTTGAGCCTTTTCAAAAAGTGAATTCCAAATACTTCTATATTGAAAAAAGCAGAAGAGTCACTTGGTTCGAAGCTCTGCACAAGTGTCGGGAATTAGGTGCGAATTTGGTCAATTTTCAAAATAAAGACGATTTGGATGCAGTACTATCAAAATTAAGTACAAAACGATGTTATTGGATGAGCCTAACGAATCTTTCCAACAAATCAGAGTTCATTTCTATTACTAGCGGCCAGCAACCCAACTATACAAGATGGGGCTACGGGGAGCCAAATAACCTCTTAAATAGGGAACATTGCGTAGAGCTGATGGCGCATAATAAAAAGAAATTCATTTATAACGACAAATGGTGTTCTCGCCGCTGCAACTTTATTTGTGAGACAAAACTGCCAACCCAAATAAATATAGTTTTATGGTGAAACATCAGTTGAATATGATACATATGTATAAGTCAAAAAGGAATCAGTGGCATATATGGATTAATGATGAAAGTATAAGACTCGTGAAAGTAACTTAATTAATGGTATCTGAAATAATTTTCATTACCCGAACCTACAATTATATATTAAGTATTTAGTTTTTGCCATATACAAATTATCCAGATCACTTGAGGTTGATAGCCAAAATATAACAGAAATAACAATCGTTTAAAATATGTATATTAATACAGTCGACTCTCGATAATTCATACACCGCTAATCTTACGCATTATCGTGTTTCTACTGTATAAGGATTAAAAACTTTTGAAATAAAGTCATAATGATTTAAGTGTATTTAACAGGTACCTACATCAAAGCTGCATGTCTCTAGCTCTTTCAAGCTGAGTCAACACAGACAGTTTGGCAAGGGTAAATCGCTTTAGTTCTTCGCCCTGATAAAGAATATATACCTATATTTTTTAAGGTCTGTCACGTTTATACAATACAATACAGGTATACAATCCTGATGAAACTTTCAGAACTTAATCATGTCCAAATGTATGTACATTCCAAAGCATAAGTCTCTAGTACTTGAAATACGCTCTTTAAAAAGGTGAGGGTTACAACACAAATCGAAATTATATAAAATACACATAAGTCTACATTTAAAGTTTGGAAGCTGTAGCTCTAAAGATGTAGATATAGTTAAATAACTGCCTTTCGATAAGGTTTTTAATCGATAATGAAATATCGGGAGTAGTTATCGATAGAGAAAATTCAAGTCTTTAGCTCTTATATCTCTGAGATAGACGTGTTTATACATACGGACGGAAAAACAGACGGACAGGGCAAAATCGACTCAACTCGTCGCTCTGATCAAGAATGTATATACTTTGTGGGGTGTGCCACGCCTTTTTCTGTCTGTTACATACCATACCACAAAACCATTATGCCCTGATTTTTCATTTTCAATGGGTACAGAGTATAAAAAAATAAATACTTAGATCCCAACGGAAAGTCCTCTCCTCTTATATTGAGCAAGCAGTACATATTCATATACAGAGTTTGCGGCAAGTAGCAACTCACTTTAATACGGAAATTAACTCATAGATGGCGGCACCAGTTCAATTGATTTTACATATGTATGTAAATCACAACAATAACGTAGTTAGTTTACATTGATAAAGAATTTTCTCTACTCTTTTGTGTAAAGTATTTGGTGTGCATGTATGGGGGAATTTAAATGCCACGGCATATAACTAAAATAACTGAAGACGTCATTGATTTCTTTTCACAATGTACTTCTGTATAGCTCCCAGCTGTAACTAATCTTCCTGTTCGTCCAGGTATATTTTCTCAAAATCCTCAGGATGCACCTCAATGGCAGCATTGGTATCTGACGAATCTGGATCTAAGCTGTCAGATCCAGTCAAATCACTGTCATCTTCAAAGCGATTATCATCGCCCACATCCTTAATTAGGTCCAGCTCCAGATTCTGATTCTCAGTCAAACATTTACCATTAAGTTGATTCAGCGTGTTCTCCAGCTTATTGGCCCGTTCCAGCAGCAAGCCCAGGCGTTTGTCAATCTCTGCAAATATATCCCCACTCAAGGGCGTCGCGGCCAGCTGTTCTTCATTCTCAATCTCTGGCAATTGACTGTCGTCAGAATTGGCGACGTCCTCTTTATCTGGCGACGACATGATATCGGTAAGTTCAAAAATGAATATATGCTCAAATAGGAATTCAAGTTGATCTGTAAATGCTGTTTTATGTTAAACGTAAACAAAATTATGTCGACCTGTGTACAAAATATAATTTGACTACTTCATATAATACAGGCCTACTAAACTCTGCCGGAGACAGATAGACCGAACGAGTGAGAGAGAGTAAGAACGAGTGAGAGAGGAGTTACTATAATTTTGCAACTATAAACTGAACAGCTGAGCAGCTGAGCATGTGAGCAGCACCCGAGACGATGCTCCAAACAATCTCTGGGAGCGATCAACGCATAGCGGCTTTTTCTTGTGTTTTTTTTCAGTGAGTGCGCGAGCGGCAAACGGTAAACAACAGCTGCTGGTAACGAAAAGCGACGAAAAACAAGAAAATTATTGGCTCGTTGAAAACGAACGACAATTACAAAAGAAAAAGTCAAAAAGTAGCCACAAGCTGCTGCTGCAAAGGCCAAGAGACCTGGAAGGCGACAGTCGAAAAGGCAACAAGATACAAAAGTATCTTCCGAATGCGCGAATCTTCATTTTCGTATTGAACAATTACGCAAGTGAGTTGCAAGTGAATTACGCAAATTAGCAAATCTCTGCTCTTGCATTGCAATCAAATTACCTGAGACGCGGCTTTTTGCCTCAAAGTGGCCATTAGTGCAATAGAGTGGGCTAAATATAGTGTTGTTATCAGTGTTGTTATCTGGTTCTCGGTACTTCAGACTTTCAAGTCGTTGGGAGTGATTCACTCCGAGTTCTGTTGGGCAATTAGGCGAAATACCAAAAGCAAACAAATTTGACGAGTTTGCTTTGAGCAAAAGTATTTATTGGGCTCGCCTCTTGATTTCAACTCTTTAGAGATTTCTGCTGCTGCTCTGATGCTCTTTGTAGTTAGTACAAATGCTAGATGTCTCTGACTTTGGGCTCTGTATATTCACAGCTGTTTCGCTAAGGTGAAACCAGTTTTCCAGCAGCAGCAGCAGCTTGTTTCGATATTCCTCTTCGTTATTTCTTTTTCTTTCTTCATTTTTTTTGGCACACAGAGCGTATCGAAAAGTCAAATGTGAGCGTTTCTGTTTGTTATGTTAGTATAAGCTTATTCATATGTATATATGTATGTATGTGTTGTGTATGTTTGCCATGTGCCTAAGGTTGGCATCGACTGGCAGTTAAGAATATTATACAGTGAGTGTCTAACGAGCAGTATGGGAAACATGAAAAATGCCATTGTTTTATACATATTCAATACGAGGTATTTGGCTAACACAATTGCCAAGATATAACCATGAAATTTCCTTTGCATTTTCAAAGCAGACTAGATTTTGAAGAACATTCCGCTTCATCATAATACATGATGCGAATGGGGATTGAGTCTGATAGCTTGATACATATAGTTGACAATATATAATAAACAATAATTATTTAGTTTGTAATTGTAATTGTAATACTTTAATTCTTTCGTTCTTATATATTATTGCAAATTAATTGCAATATGCAATATTTTTTAAATATGTAAAAGAAAAAGTGAAAACCTAAATTTCGAATGAAAGCAGTGTTTATAGCAAGCAGGCGTTGGGCAAGCAGTTGCATATTGCCCAAGCAGGTTACTGCTTTTCTGACATTTGGTAGTAATTCCTAAAAAACGAAAAGCCCGACTAACAGACACTCCGTACCAAATAGCGGTTTGCGGTGTGTATGTTCGATTATGTAAATAATCACGTGAATATAATTGTAATGCTAAGCGTAAATATAATAAAGAAGGTTTAAAACTATCAAAAGATTGCAGACATAAGGATATATATAGGAGTTACAATAATATCTACACGAATATTACATCTCCAAAAAAAGTCAAGAACAGCTGGAATAATTTAATTTTTTAGCATTCACTTTTTTGACAGAATTCTAATTTTTACAATATATGTATAATACGTAAATTATAATTTTATTTCTTGTGTTTATCTTTTCGTATAAAAGTACAAAATATTTATATATATTAGGACTAACTGTAAAACTAAAACTAAATTGAAAGGGAATTCGCAAACTTAGTAATCCTCGTCGCAGAAACAGCCATCTTTTGAGTTCTCCACAATCCAGTCGAGATATTTAGTGACTCTGGTGTAGACACCGGGGTAATTGGGTCGCGCACATCCATTGCCCCAGGAGACGATGCCGATCTGTTCGAAGCGCTTGTCGTCGGGCCGCAAGCGGACCAGAGGACCTCCCGAATCTCCCTGGCAGCTGTCGCGTCCGCCCACTCCCGGGTAGCCAGAGCACATCATGTTCTTAGTGATCATCTTTTGTGTATAGTTCGTTTGGGCCACGCACTCGTCGTTGTCCAACACTGGCACCTCCACCTCCTGCAGCAGGCACGAGGGCTTGCCGTCCTCCTTGAGCGTGCCCCAACCTGTTGCAATGGCACGCGTGCCCACGAACAAGTCGTCGCGCTTCTCCGCGCGGGGCAAGCAGATGGGTCTGATGAAGCTGGTGATCGGCACGCGATCGTTGAGGCGCAGCAGGGCGATGTCATTGTCGAAATTGGAGAAGCTGAACTTCTGGCTGAAGGCGCGCAGCACAAAGCGCGTCTCCGGACGCTCCTTGTCATTGCAACGATCGTGCTCGCCGAAAGTCACCTTGATCATGAACCACATGAAGCCCTTGACGCAATGCGCCGCCGTCAGCACGTAGCGATCGTTGATCAGCGTGCCACCGCAGTAGAATCGATTGAAGTAGCTCAGTCTGGCCATCCAGGGATACTCGCTGACGCCAGTTGTAGTGCCCCCGACGATCCTCGACTCGTCGTTGCGCTCCCCGCACCTGCAACAGTCGAAAAGCACAGAATGTGAGCGAACTTCAGTATTTTATATATGTTTGTCATCCACTCCATCGTGTTGCTGACAATTGAGTGCACTGCGACCGACTGCACCATGCTCTGTTCGTACTTCAATTATAGCATACAGTGGCATTGTTCTCTACTCTAAAAAGGCATGATAATACCGTACCTTGCATTGTTGGCCAGAAATCTAATTTAAATAATTGACTATGGAAATCGTCAAAAATCGTGAAGGTGGTCTTAAATTATGAGCATCGACAGTTATTAAATTTATGAGTTCAATTAGTTTTCAAAGCGTGATTACAAACCGTTCACAGTATGTATAAAGTCTGCTAAAATTTGTAGGCTGATCGAGCCACGCCCTCTTTACCCTTGAACACAAAATAAATACAAACTTACTTCATCTTATTCATACAAGCAAAGAGTTTATATTTTATAGATTGAATAAAACCTCTAATATATACGGAATTATTTTACATCTATACAATCAAACGTGTCTAACTCAACCCCCCTATCGTCGTCCAGAGTATTTATTTAATTTCAATTTTTATGTAGTTCAAGTTCACATTTTTCCTGCTCTTTTTTGCAAACTTTATAAAATCAATTAAATAAAGGTAAATAATTTTTCTTTTTGAAGTAGTAACAATTTCTATCTAATTTGTTTTTTCTCAATTACCAAATAAATAAAGTCTATTTACTGAATACATTTTTTAAGCAGAAGACTATATTTGATCATTTTATGTATTTGGCATTACTCTAAAATAAATGGAATTTTAATTAAATATATAGAGTTGAATGCTTTAAGCAAAATACATTTTCCAGCCCAAACAATTGTCAATTATCAGTGTTTTTATGCTTTTATTGCATATTATTTTATCATTTTTTATATGCGTTGCAATTGAACCAGAATTTGTTTCATGTTCATCCCAGACTAAACACAATTTTCTGTGTTTATTTCATTGAATGGCAATCTTCGATGATTAGTTCAGAGTTCAACAACCCAGCAAACCTCATTACCAATGTCACAAAGAAAGTGACAAAGTCTTTAACGTGCTGGCGTGCAAATGATTCGTTTTGCAGTTTTTCCGACATATTTAAAATGACATCGTACATAAAACTGGTTTATAATTGCCAAAAACTGAAGTAAATGCATTCAGAAGAGACACTGAGAAGTGGAAAGAGAATGAGAGACAGACTGATAAATGAAATGAGAGAGTGTGTGAGAGAGAGAGAGACAGAGAGGGGAAGAACAACCAGTTCTCTAAAGTCTGGCTTTACAAACTTATATACTAAATATATTTTTTTGGCCACAAATCAATCGTCTGCTTAAAACAACAACAATCCCGGGCTTGATATCTTTTTTTGGTGTTGCTTAACCGAGTCATTGCCCCAAAAATGGTTGCAAAGGCAAGGCAGGGCAAGGCAAGGCGAAATTAAAGGCGTCCCGAAAGCCAGAGACATGCAAAAACAAAAACAAAGACAATAAAAATCGGCGACCCAATTCAAAGAGAATGCGGCGTTCCCTTTGCTAAATGCCAATAAACATATGACGCATTGGCCCTACCTGATATCTGGATACACATGAGTTTATGTATGTGTGTTTACATATATATTTACCATATACATATACACACATTGTATTTTTTGATTTAGAGAACAGAAATATTTAAAATAGGCAAAGCTCTTATCAAAGCTTATGGAAATCAGACCCATTTAATTTGATATGCAAAAAAAAAGTAAAAATAAATATAAAATATACAAAAAAAAAAATAAAAGAATTAAAACGGGTTTTAGGCTTATGCGATCAAAATCTTGAAATACTGAAGACTTTAGTCTACGTGACTGAGGAATGGGATTTATTCGTTCTTTTGGGTAAAAGTAGAAAACTTTTACAAAAAGAAAAACATCTGTGTTAAAGCCTTAATAGCCATCAATTTAGATATGCTCGAAAAAAATAAAAATAAAAGTGAAAATCTGACCTAACTGACCTAAGTTAATTCGAGCTAGTCGAGTATCTTGGAAAAGTTCCGTCGATCGTTAAAATTCCAAAGCTGGGTGTGCCGACAAACGCATTCCTGAGAACTCCCTGGAGTAAAGTGTCTCTGAATTCATGCAAACTGTTTGGAGTCCATCAATACCCTGGGGTACTTCAAAATGCCAATGCCAATGCCAATGTCGAAAGCCTAGAACCCATTGC